AGAAAAAAAATGAAAAATGATATTTTTTCAAATTTTGGTAAATTTTAGGGTTACACCTAACCTTAAGAGCACGACACCCATCTTTGCCCATACTTTGACTGCTTTGAGCCAATTAAAAAGAAGCCAGTTCCATAACCTTGGATAGATTCATCCTTTCTCAGACTGAAACTTGGGTGACATGCGAATGCCGTGGCGGTAAGGGTGGGGGGAAGGTGGGGGGATTGCTACAATAAAGTACAGATAAGTTGTGGGGCTATGTCAGGGGACAAAAATTTAAATTTAAAACCACTGAAAGCTGTACCTACCAACTAAATTAGTCATATTTTCACAATCTGTTAGTTTTTCAAGACATCAGGATTACCTACAGAGTCTAGCATAGTTACCCCATTCCACCCACCCCTTTAAGAGATGGCAAATACAGATGTAGCCTGCACTGCAATAAGTTTGTCACAAAAAGCCATTTAATCTATGACTTACTTTTTCTCTCACAAGTAGAAAATCATGGTTAATTTTAAGTTAACAAGTGCTGGACTAGTGAAATTTTCTTACCCCAGGAAAAAAAAAATCTAGAAATCAGTCAAAATCCTCTCACATCAGAGGCAGAATTTTTGTTTTACCAAGAATATAAATGAAGGCCGAACACACCATGAAAATGCTTGGCAAGCTTTGTTTTTGCAGTGCGTCCTGTACAACCTAAGGGCACAAACAAGCTTGAGTACTCAGTGCAATGCTAGCTAACAATGACGTATTTTACCAACCCCAATTCCAATGAAGTTGGGACGTTGTGTGAAATTTGAATGAAAACAGAATACAATGATTTGCGAATCATTTGACATATATTCAATTGAGTACACTACAAAGGCAAGATATTTAATGTTCAAACTGATAAATTTTTTTTTTTTTTTTTTTTTAATATTCACTCATTTTGAATTTGATGCCTGCAACACATTCCAGAAAAGCTGGGAGAGGGGCATGTTTATCACAGTGTTACATCACCTTTCCTTTTAACAACACTCAATAAGCGTTTGAGGAACAGAGGACACTAATTGTAGAAGCTTTGTAGGTGGAATTCTTTCCCATTCTTGCTTGATCTACGACTTCAGTTGCTCAACAGTCCGGGGTCTCCTTTGTTGAATTTTGCGCTTCATAATGCGCCACATATTTTCAATGGGAGGCAGGTCTAGACTGCAGGCAGGCCAGTCTATTCCCCACACTCTTTTACTACGAAGCCATACTGATCTAAGTGCAGAATGTGGCTTGCCATTGTCTTGCTGAAATAAGCAGGGATGTCCCTGGAAAAGACGTCACTTGGATGGCAGCATATGTTGCTCCAAAACCTGCATGTACCTTCCAGCATGAATGGTGCCTTCACAGATGTGTAGTTCTAACACATCCCCATACCATCACAGATGCTGGCTTTTGAACTTTGCGCTGATAACATTCTGGATGGTCCTTTTCCTCTTTAGCCCAGAGGACACGACATCCATGATTTCCAAAAACAATTTGAAATGTGGACTCGTCCGACCACAGCACACTTTTCCACTGTGCGTCAGTCTGTCTCAGATGAGCTCGGTCCCAGAGAAGCCGTTGGCGTTTCTGGGTGTTGTTGATATATGGCTTTTGCTTTGCATGGTAGAGTTTTAACTTGCACTTGTAGACGTAGCGATGAACTGTGTTAACTGACAATGGTTTTCCGAAGTGTTCCTGAGCCCACATGGTAATATCCTTTACAGAATGAGGTCGGTTTTTAATGCAGCGCCGCCTGAGGGTCCGACAGTCACGGGCATTCAATGTTGGTTTTCGGCCTTGCCGCCTACGTGTAGAGATTTCTCCAGATTCTCTAAATCTTTTGATGATATTACGGACTGTAGATGATGAAATCCCTAAATCTCTTGCAAACGCACGTTGAGAAACATTGTTCTTAAACTGTTGGAGTTTTTGCTCATGCAGTTGTTCACAAAGTGGTGAACCTCGCCCCCTCCTTGCTTGTGAACGACTGAGCCTTTCGGAGATGCTCCTTTTATACCTAATCATGACACTCACCTGTTTCCAAATAAACTGTTCACCTGTGGAATTTTCCAAACAGGTGTTTTTTTGAGCATTCCTCAACTTTCCCAGTCTTTTGGTGCCTCTGTCCCAGCTTTTCTGGAACGTGATGCAGGCATAAAATACAAAATCAGTGAATATTTCCCCAAAAAAAAAAAAAAAAAAAAACAATAAAGTTTATCAGTTTTAACATTAAATATCTTGCCTTTGTAGTGTGCTCAGTTGAATATAGGTCGAAAAGGATTTACAAATCATTGTATTCTGTTTTTATTCACGTTTTACTCGACGTTCCATTTTAATTGGAATTGGGGTTTGTACTTTAGTACCGAGCTGCTCTAAATGAATGCTCCACGTGCTAATGGTCCCGGCGCTCACCGCAGCGGCAGGAGCCCAGCTCCTGCTGGACCAGCTCCAGTTTGGTTTGACAGCGATGGCAACGCCGGCGGTTCCTCTGCTTTGGCCCACCGCCACTCCCCTCACCGTCCGGCCGCGCCCGTTTCTGCGGCGACGCCTCGCTCTCCGACTCAGAGGCTGAATTGAAAACCAGGGCACACGATGGGACACGTGGGCTCACAGGCAGGCACATGAACGAATAAACAACACCGTACAAGCGAAAAAGAACATGCATAAATCAAAGATGGATAACAGGTTCGGGAAATGCCATCTAACAATGAATCGTTTTAACAAGGCAAACTCCGAGTTTTTTCCCCCACAAAATAAGCCTCAGGAGGCTTGGACAGGAGTGCAACAATCTAAAAAAGTGCTCAAGTTCTTGTGCCGAATTTCAATAGGTCATAGAACAAATTTGTGCTTCTTAAAGTAAGTGGCTTTCCCCATTACTGTACAGATGGCGAGCCCTGCCGCAGCCTTCACTGCACATCGGGGGTAGTAGGGCCAGCCAATTTATCAAGATTATACTGCAACAGTGATATACTGCTGGGGATTTTTAATATCGGAATATTGCAGAAATTCAGTCCTTTCAGGTTTTCAAGGCTGCATTACAGAAGAGGAATGCAGTTGTCCGCACTAATTAAACAGTTTCGGCTGTTGCCCGTACCTACTTGGTCATCATATCCACATTACAAATGACTATTCATCATAATTCGCATTGTGTCAATATTTTAAGAAAGCACCAGCAGTTATCCCTACAATAATACCACAATATCAATATTGAGGTATCCGGTCTAAAATATTGTGATATCTGATTTTATCAGTATTGCCCAGCCCCAGCAGGTAGCCAAGTCCATCTCCATGGAATCAGGAAACAAGAGTTTGGAGGAACAAACCTCAGGGGTCTGTGTGCATCATTAAAATGTGGTCTCGCACCAGGCAACCTGTCTAGCAGTGCTCCCAGAGATCTCTAAAGCAAACTTAGGCGGAAAAACACAGTGGACTGCTAACCGCCCGGTGCGACTGGGTATTTACACAAATAATCCTGCAGCAGAGATGCAAGATGGAGACTTTCGCAAATAAATGCACCACCCAATTGTTGAGAAACATGCCACAACTGCAGGGCAGCAGATAGGAATTGAACTGGACGCAGTACACAGACCATTTAATTGCCATATAAGATGAGAGGTAATGTTAATGCTTGGCATCTCTATCTTCCTCAGGTCACTGAATCTTGTTGACCTACAACAGGGCTCCACAAATAATGGTCCTTGAGGGCCTAGAATTGCTGGTTTTCCACCCTCCCTTTACCTGGAAGTCAGGTGTGAAGATGGTTTGACCGATCAGTGGCAGTAATTGTTCACTTAATTGCCTGAGGCTGGATTTGGATTCAAGGGCCAGATTTGGGGAGCCATGACCGAAAACATTGGACAGATGACGGAGAATGGCTCAGCTTTACCTGGGTCGCAGGGCCGTTTGGTGGGTGTGGAGAGAGCACCGTGTGCTGTGTCTGTACTAGAGGTCCCTGGAGAACACAAATGAACCTGCAGTTAGAGGAGCGATAGAAGCCTGGTGCACGCAGTGCTGGCAGCAGACAAGGATTTTTGGCTGAAATAATATCACAGTACAAACACCATTTCTGAACTGGGAATGCAAGAGAAGGGGAAAAAATAATTGCACAGGCAGAACACTAGCTGGAAGGAAACCATGAAATACACTATGGATCGAGAGTCACCATGAACCCAGACGTAACTGATCAACGGGACAAATAAAAGAAAGCCGCTCCTCTGTCTTTGTCTTGCAAGGCCTAAGACCTATCCAGGAAACAGTCCATCATATTGATTGTAAAGTCTCATGGGATGGAACAGTCCACAGTCACTCACTTCCAGCTTCACACTCCAGGTCGAGACCGTATTTTTGCAGTCCGAAAAGCAGCGTTCATTTAGGAGGGCATTAGGGAGTGATTGTTTTACTTGGCAGAACATGGCGGTCCAAATGACCGTGTACCCATACGCCAAAGTGAGCAAGTCACCCTGACACCATGTATCATCCCGGCACATCAAATGCTACCACATTAAAAAGTGGGTTGCCAGGGCACAGCTCCAGTCAAATGTCTTAGGAATGCCATCATCTAACCATTTCATTGGAGACCAACTTATTTTCCACAAGGCTCTTGCTCCCCCCAAATGGGACTGATAATTATGCTTGAGTGTTAGGAATATAGCTCGCACTTCCACTGAAAAGCCATTGAAACTCCATACTGGATGAATCACACAAATTAGGGCTAATAGGAAGGGAGACTCATCACTTTATAGCAGACACCAGGGTACACTGTAGACACCCGGAGAGTAGCTGGACCGTGCTAATATGCCAGGATAGCAGATCATAAATACCAGCGTCTAAATTTATCAGAGAGAACTAGAACTAGGACAACAGAGCTTGGAGTAGCCATTTCACAGACCCAGATAAACCCTGATCTAGGACAGCCTGTCAGGACGTACACCAGGAGTCTTTCATCAGCTGGCGACAGGCCTCCTGAGATATGTGACAGTATCTCAGAGGAGGGCGGCATGGCGCAGCGGGTAGCGCCAATGCCTCACGGCAAGGTCGTGGGTTTGAATCCCGCCCGGGGTCTTTCAAGTGTGGAGTTTGTGCGTTTACACGCATTTGCACCAGTTTCGATTCCCTGGCATCCCCACACATCCCGAAGGCATGCAGGTTAGGCCAAATAGAACCGCAAAATTGCCTATGGGCATGAGCCTAAGACAATAGCGCTGAGAGAGCGCCTGGTGATAGATTGGCAAACAGTCTGTCTTGTATTCCGTCTCTCAGCCATTGGCACTGGGATAGACTCGACCTCCCTGTAACCCTGACCAGGAATAAGCAGGATATGGACTATACAGGCCCTGAATAAATCTTCCAGCATATTCCTAACTCACCCTCTTGTGTGCTGGGAAGTGCGGGTCCCGTCTCTTCAGCTGACGGCTGCTCACAGCCAACAGGCAACAATGACAGAGATTGGCTACTGCTGCTCTCGCTACAGAAGACTGATGATTGGCTACTGCTGCTGCTGGGGGTGGTGTCTGGGGCACAGTCGTCATCGGGCTGCTTCTTCTGGATGTCTACAAGAAAAAAAGAAGTGGACAACGGACATCATATGGGACCTCAGCTCTGACCCCTCAACTGACAGGTGCCCTGCTGTGGGATTCCTTTGGTTCTAAAACAAAGTGAAGCCAAAGTTTCAGTCAACTGAACAGGCTAGCCAGTTACCGACCAGTAATTAAAGACAGGCAAAACTCCAAAAATTATCTAACTAAGATGGAAGGAGTATATGTCTGCCTGTATTCATGCAAGTATGTCTATCCCTTGATTTTCTCAACGACCAAACTGCGACAAGGGTGCTCCGGCCAAGATCCAAAGCATGAAATCGCCACACCAACAGACTGACATTTGGGACCTACATTGCAGCAAGCCAGTCCAAAGCGAAAACCTGAGAGACTTGCCCAGGTGTTGTAAATCAATCTAGTAACCCAGGCCAGTGCACTCACGACAGGGCTGAGCGCAAGAGCAGGAAACTCACCAGCAAAACACTTGGAGCAGAGGTTCATGGTTTTACTGGACCTGGGGGTGACAAGAGAGATGCACGTTAGCGCAGGTCTGGATGCATTAAGAAGATCTTTAATAACCAAGCCCTTACAGCTAGCCTAGATGCTATAACCTCAGCCAAATCGAGCTTAAGTTATCACAGTAAGTTGGGAGACACATTATTGATATAACAAATAACAAAGTTCTTTCAGAAAAAGGCCACTTACAAATCATCATACATTACGACATAATCACAATACAAAGATACAAAATTATACTTGACCACAAAATCTGATCTCTCATATGTAAACACACAAAGAAAAGACAATTTTGCACTTTACATCATAGAGCTAATTGAATTTTGTGGGCTAGCAGAGCACACTGCTTTTGGCACCCCATATTTTTTTTTTTTTTTCTTCTGAGTTTTCATAAAATAATCCCAAAATACATGACATGAAAAACTGTTGCTCCAAAGCATCCATTTTGCTTTGATCTAAGTTGCCGCATGCAACTTCATATCATTTGAAACCCCAGAGCCAATTTTCACATAATCTTTTACCTTTATGCATACTGTCATTTTAGACCAGGGGAGTCCACTCAAGTACAGGGGCGCCACAGTGCGTTTGGAGTTTTGAGGTCTACTTTAACCGATTAATGCCTTGAGAACGAGGTGTGTGAACTATTTACCCCGGAGATCACCGCCTCTTTTCCTCGATATCTGCAGCCCAGTGGGTTTTCACTCCAATCTAATCAAAGCACATTCCATCAGCACACGCTTCAGACCAAAGCCAGAGATCTGGACTGAGCTGATAACTGGTAGAGTTAGGTGTGACAAATTGGGGCTGGAGTGAGAACCTACAGGATGGTAGATCTTCAGGAGCAGGGTTGGTGACCATCGATTTAACCAATCATCACATTGAGTGGCCCACCTAGACAGGAGTTTGGAGACAACAGCTTTGGACCATGTCATGTGACAATCCGAGATGAAATGTATTCAATCTACACAGACCGCCTGTGCCTGCTACTGAAAGATAGCAACCTGCTTAAAAGTAGATACCCTCCGATAAAAAATGTAAACAGGGAATCTTATTATTCACACTTAAAGTAATGCTGCTCCCCCTCCATCTCAGTTTCAGACTATCTGAAAATTGCCTAGTCCAACCAACACCTTGTTTAGGCGCATCCATTTCTCACAGAAAGACTTAGGCTATTTATCACCGTAAAGCGGGGATCTTCAACTCCTCGTCCCGGAGAGCCGCAGCGCCTGCTGCTTTTTTCGCTGCTCAGAATTTAATACTCAAATAAAGCAGCATATTATACAGGTAACTCACCACACCTGTTTACTTGGGTCCAAACTGATTGTTGATATTAAGGCAATAAATTAGATTGCGCCCAGCGCTATATACCCCCCTGTCATGCCTTAAAATTAGGTCAAAATCAGAGCTATGACCTTGACATCAAATGGGCTTCTGGAGACGCCCAAATATGCATAACCTGTTTAAATTTGAGTTCTGTTCCTAAAACGATTCACCAGCTAGAGCAGAAATAAGCGATGGGAAGACAAAGACGGACGGACGGTGGAGGAGACGACAATAACCCATTGGCTAGAATCACGGACGGGGTAAAAAGCAGCAAAGCACGCAGTACAGTTCTCCAGAACCATCGTCGTGAAGACACAACTGCTTCAGAGTCGTCAGTGCACTGTAATACAAACTCGGAGACACCTGCACCCCCACTGGTCGAGTGGGAACTGGCACTTAATCCATCTATAAAGCATGTCATGCATGCTTGCCTCCCCTTGAAGGAAGTTCAGCGATATCAGGAATGTTTCCACTGCTGCTAACACTCATCCATGCCAGGAAATGACACGCTTTTATTCGCAAATACAGAGCCGCTTAGATGGCCACTCCTTTCCCATACAAAAAAAGTTCTGATTAAATCAACACACTCTTGTCAGTGCACAGATAAGTAGATACGAATCACCCCCTCATCATTCCATGTAAAAGATGCCTATTCCTGGAGCATGGCAGTTTATTCAAGCTGCCTAAAAGCCACATGCGAGCTGGTCACTAATGCCAACCTCGGCTCAAGAATCGAAGGCAGTACAGCGAAAATACATTTTGGTGCTGTGCCTCGTAATGAAAGCATTTCCAGTAAAGGTCTACTGTTATGTCACCAAGTGCACAGCTAATCAGTTATTACAAGCCATTTCAAAATCTTTCCCCTCTTGACATCATATGGGGAAGTAACCAACCAGAGGCAAGAAGAACTGATCAACTTCAGCCAAGCAGACAATCAGATTTCATTATTCTGGGTGGTCACTTCCCCTTGTGATGTCAGGAAGGGGATATTTTGAACTGGCTCACAATGGCCAATTAGCTGTGCACCTGGTAGCATAATAAGGGACCTTTAAGACAATTTTCATCCATTTCATTGTACAAACAAGCACAAAACTGCATAGACCCACGGTGCACAAATTCACGTGTCCCACTAAACTTCCATACCGAGCGTCCCGGCAAAATGTCCATCAGAGTGCGAGTGAGCAAGCGAGCGAATGAGTGATCAAAATTCGCGATGCATATTACATGGTGGCAGTTTGCGCGACTTGGGGGGAAAAACAATGTTTTAAATCATTTGAATGATTAAATGCTAATAAAGCATAGTGGATGGCCCCCATAACTGGTCAATAGTGAACATTAAATGCACACAAAGTTCTCATGAACGAAGAGCAGCACAAGTCCTCCTATAACACAGGAAACATGCATGAAACAGAAAACTACAAAACAACACTACCACCGTTACCACAGGTGAATATGCAACATGGGACTGCTATTGAAAGTATGTAAGCAAATACTGCATAGATTTATCTCCTCCTTTGCAGAAAAACAATGAAATGTAATATTCACACTCAAACCTGATTAGAACACACATTTTTAAAAAATATTTTAAAAAGAATTCCTAAAACTGAACTGCTCACAGATCCTTTTCAATACGTCTTGCCAAAAATGTCCCCATTCTGTGCATTTTCCGTTATTGTTTAGGTTTCTTAGAACAATAAAAAAAAGTGGACAAAAAAAACAAACAAAAAACAAAACAAACAAACAAACAAACAAACAAAAAAAAAGGTGAAACCAGTGATCCTTCTATTCAACTCCGGACCATACACAGCACACAAGGGGCAGATTGCCTGTGTATACTCATCCCATTGTGTAAGCACGTGGACAATCCCTGAAAAGTCATACAGGAACCATCATTTACCCCTCTTTATGACTGACATTCCCTCTTTTCACGCTCCAACCACTAGAATAGAAACCATGTTTCATGGCTTTCACATCATGCTCATATATAGCCAGTGGTTTAACCTGCAATCATGTGGTTGCAATGCTGTAATGTACAACAGCCCTGGCCTGGATCGTGGAATCATCCCAGACTGGTACTGAAATAAACAAATGAAGAGATAAATACCCTCCAGCAGTATCAGTTGTTGCATTTAGGCTTCAAAAACCCAAATTCTGTCATTTATCACAGACTTTTCTCTGCTGCCTGACAAACGCTAGCAAGGTTAGAGAGTTTTGAGCAGATTTTACATAAATCAGTGTAGCAGGATGGGCTGTTGCACCCTGGAGACAGGCAATATGCACTTGTCTGCCTCCAGCAACTATAAATGTACCTGGACTACTTCACAGGAAACTCCAATGCAATTCAAGAAAAATGGAAGAGACCTGCAGCTGAATTAAATTCACCATGAAAAAATGCCACAGGACACCAACTGAGTGGCTTGGCCAATATTTAATCGCTCCCTTGATAAAATTATCTGCATACAATTGCACATCAAACAGGCCTTCCACAGTCAATACACTGATAACTTGTATCTCAGCAGTAAAAAACATTAAAACAGGGCAGTTAGAAAACCAAGCCAGACTACAGGAATAGCTTAGCATTCTTCCAAGACTAGAACAAGCCTAACATAACTAATGCCAGCCCAGCTGTCACCAGTAACACAAAAAAAAAAAAAAAAAAAAAAACTTTCAGAGGCAATAAATGGGTTTA